ATCTTTTTTTAAATGTATTTTACTGATTTTTTAACAGAGAGGAAGGGAGAGGGATAGAGAGTTAGAAACAACAATGAGAGAGAAACATCGATCAGCTGCCTCCTGCACTCCCCCTACTGGGGATGTGCCCTCAACCAAGGTACATGCCCTTGATCGGAATCGAACCTGGGACCCTTGAGTCCGCAGGCTTATGCTCTATCCACTGAGCCAAACCAGTTAGGGCTCACACATACTCTTATTAAGTGTATTTCCTACCTAATTTGTGTTGTTATTTTAGGGAAAAACATTTTTTTTTAGATTATGTCTTTTCATTTGACAGTATTTTTTTTAATAGATCTTATTACTTTTTTAAAATTTATTTATTTTATTGATTTTTTACAGAGAGGAAGGGAGAGGGATAGAGAGTTAGAAACATCGATGAGAAAGAAACATCGATCAGCTGCTTCCTGCACACCTCCTACTGGGGATGTACCAGCAACCCAGGTACATGCCCTTGACTGGAATCGAACCTGGGACCCTTCAGTCCGCAGACTGACGCTCTATCCACTGAGCCAAACCAGTTAGGGCCATTTGACAGTATTGATCTGTATAAAAAGTTGCCACTAATCAAGAGAATACAAATTAAAATTTCATCTCATTGTTTTATTTTCAAAGTGAAACATTTTTGAAGATTGTAAAAATGTAGTGGAATAGGAATGAAATTAAATGTTGTGGAGGACATTTTTGTTTTAAAAATCAAAAGTCTAAGCGGTCAGACCAGTCAGTTTATTTAAGGTCAACCTATAGAGGTGGATCATAACAATTTCAAAGAAGCAACATTAATGTGTTTCTCATTGACTATATTTTTAATACCAAGAAATTAGAAAAACCTTAAATGACCAACAATAAGACATTTATTAATAAACAATGACATAGCTATCTGATAGAATGCTTATAGCCTAAAAGTCATACTTTACAGGAACATTTAATGGTTTTTGTAATGCTTACAAAAGGGTATTAAATGGAAAAGCATGTGTGAAATACTAGGTAACATAAATTCAATTACTGTATTTTTAAAAATTGAAGGAAACAATTTATTCAAGAAAGACATTCAGTAGAATCATACAGGATTTTGTAATTGGGAAATTGGATACCGCTTTATGCTGATCATATATCAAATTGCTATGTATAATACTTATTAGATTTTATTCTTCTAAATTGAAATTGAGATCATTATGACCTTTCTATAATTGATTAAAGGAAGTTTTGGTGTTGTGGTTGTTAAATCATTGTCCATGTTAAATAGCTATACAGAAATGGATCCTGTTATCATTGCCTCTGAAGGAGTGGAAAAATTCAAAAATGAAAATTTTGAAATTATTATTGTTGATACAAGTGGCCGTCATAAACAAGAAGACTCGTTGTTTGAAGAAATGCTTCAAGTTGCTAATGCTATAGTAAGTAGCTTCAGTTTAACATTATGAAGTCTTTGGTTAAGTTAATTGTAAACCCTGATTGAGTTTATGATCTGTATAAATTATTTTTTGCCTATAAGACAGGTTCCAAGTACTTTATTTTTGTTTTGGGTACCTCTATCTGTATGAAAATAACTTTATCTTCTCTATATTAGTATGAAATTTTCATGAGCAAGTATCAGAAAAATAATTTCCTATCTCATTCATCTTTTAAAAGTGTGTATGAAAAAACAAACAAAAAAATTCAGGAATGAACCTTTAATAACTGTTGCATTTCCTTTCTGTAAATACTTACATTAAGTTAGAAACATTTACTTTAGAATGTTTAAAGTGAAGCACTTAAAAATATTAATCATCACTTAGTTTCTCTTTAGAATTTTGATGGAAGTAATTTGGAAAGAAGAAGCAGTTTATAGGTAATCTGTAGCACATACTATAAACCCATGTTTTGCCACTGGATGGAGGCTATAATTCTTTGCTTACTGGTTCATTATAAGTTTCTTTTTAGCTATGCAAATATTTTGACCTAGTTAAGCACAGCGAAGAGAAATAGCCTCACCTATATTTTATTCAATTTGGTTTCCATGTACACTCTTCTACTTTTACTTTTTCTCTGATTTACTTTTGCTCTTCTTTGCCTACAGTGTTATTCTTCCAGACCTTTGTATAACTTTTTTCTGTTTATGCAGGGCTTGGCCCAGATGTTACCTCTAGAGAGGCCTTCCCTGATTACCCTACCTAAAGAAGTTTCCCTCACCTCAAAACTGATATTCTCTATCCCATTTTACTTGTTGTATACCTATTTATTATCAGTCTCCTCTGACTAGAATGTAAGTCGCACTAGGACAAGGATTTTCTTATTTGTCTCTTTGTCTTAGGACCTAATAGTGCCTAATACATAGTACTCCCTCAATAAATATTTATTGATTGGATGAATAATTATTTATAATAAATATTTTATATAGCTTCTAATGATGAAATTGCTAAATATCAGGAAAAATATGTATCTTTTCTACTTAAATTTTCTAGCAACCTGATAACATTGTTTATGTGATGGATGCCTCCATTGGGCAGGCCTGTGAAGCCCAGGCTAAGGCTTTTAAAGATAAAGTAGATGTAGCCTCAGTTATAGTGACGAAGCTTGATGGCCACGCAAAAGGAGGTGGTGCACTCAGTGCGTAAGTATCATTGATGCTCTTGTGCTATGTCTTAGGCTTATATGGTGTGTGTGTGTGTGTCTGTGTGTGTGTGTTTGTGTGTCTGTGTGTGCGTGCATGAGCACGTGTGCGTATTTACAGATTTCTTATTGATTATTTAAAATATATTCCAATAGTGGATCTAATATGGTCTATGAAAGAAGTTTAAATAGAAACAAAATTTTGGCGTCCCTCTGATACATAGTTTTGTTTTAACTAGTTAAAAGAAATTTGAGCAATGTTCTTCTGTCTAATTAGCTTTGAAATATGCAAGAAATTTGTTTTCCTTTTATGTTTTCTTTTTGCAGAGTTGCTGCCACAAAAAGTCCGATTATTTTCATTGGTACAGGGGAACATATAGATGACTTTGAACCTTTTAAAACACAGCCTTTCATCAGCAAACTTCTTGGTATGTATGATGGTAGAATACACAGAAATCTCCAAGAAATAGCATGGATCTTTAGGATTTTAATTCTGTCCACTAACTAACTAGTTCAGGAAAATCATATCCTTCAATGATTTATCTTCCTTACCTGTAAAATAGGGATAGTGGTTATTTGCTTCCTGTGGTTAGAGTGTTAACATGAGCTATTAGATGGCAAGTTTTTTGGAAAAGTTATAGAGCACAATACAAAAATACGTGGTTGTACTAATAGTAATGAAAACAGCAATAAAACTTTTATAATGTCTCCAGCTGTTATAGAGAGCATGGAATTTGGAATTAAACCCTGGGTTGGCATCCCTGCTTTGTCACTTAACCTCTCTAGCTTCAGTTTTCGCACCTATAAAGTGAAATAGAAATAACAGACCTGCCTATCTCACAGGGTTATTATGTATGTGCATGTATTTTGTGTAATGTAAAGTAAGGTATGCTATTAGTTGTTAATTTTACTTTTTTACGTCTTATAGGTATGGGTGACATTGAAGGACTGATAGATAAAGTCAACGAGTTGAAGTTGGATGACAATGAAGCACTTATAGAGAAGTTGAAACATGGTATATAAGGAGCCAAAAGCATTTTATCTCAGAATATCTTCTATTGCTTGCTTTTTAATAAAACTAGTATTTATTTGTTTGAAATGATAAGTCTATTACTAAAGCCAGTTCCTGAAATATTTATTTTTTAGATGATTTATATGCAAACCATTTTAAATTTCAGACAGCTGAGCAATTTAATTTTAGTCATCCTAGTGGGTATAGTTTATCTGCCTTGTTTTCAAGTGTCTTGTGTATTTTTTTATTCCATTTTCTCTGACAGAATGTAAGCTTCTCTAGGATAGGATCTGTGTATCTGTATATTCTCTATTGAATTCATTCTATGATCTTGCACATAACTGCTCAGTGACTATTTATTAATTGGATATTTTGTAAGTGTGCTTCAAGATGAACCCATAATGAAAGAAAATATTAGTTTTATGAAATGAAATGTACATTCTCTAATATGTCTGACTCACATTGTATTTCAGGTCAATTTACGTTGCGAGACATGTATGAACAATTTCAAAATATTATGAAAATGGGCCCCTTCAGTCAAATCTTGGTTAGTTATCCTAAAAAGTTTTTTTCTAACTTGTTTTGTTTTTCATTGAAATTTCTAAGAACAGATGTACTTGCTTTAATTATTTTTAATATTTGGGTAAAAATATATACTTTAAAACCTTAGTATCAATGTTAAAGCCAATAATTAGGTGGTTCCAGGGCGCCATTCCGGCCGCATCGCGTCGGCCAAGAGGAGCGGCGCGGTCTTCGTGGTGTTCGTGGCAGGTGATGATGAGCAGTCTACACAGATGGCTGCAAGTTGGGAAGATGAGAAAGTGTCGGAAGCATCTTCAAACAGTTTTGTTGCTATTAAAATCGATACCAAAAGTGAAGCCTGCCTACAATTTTCACAAATCTATCCTGTAGTGTGTGTTCTATCTAGTTTCTTTATTGGAGACAGTGGAATTCCTTTGGAAGTAATAGCAGGAAGTGTTTCTGCAGATGAACTTGTTACCAGAATTCACAAAGTCCGACAGATGCACTCATTAAAAGGTGAAACATCAGAGGCAAATGGCAGCCAGTCAGAAAGTTCACTCTCTACTCCATCCACCTCATTTGAACCTAACAATACTTCTGAAAACACTCAGTCAAGAAATGTAGAACTTTGTGAGGCATCACCCACTTCTGATACCGCAACAGGAGGAGAAAAATCAGACCATGCCACTTCATCTCAGGAGCCTAGAGGATGTTCAAATCCAAGACCCTCAGAGGACCTCACTGTCAAAGTGGAAAGACTAACCAAAAAACTTGAAGAAAGGAGAGAAGAGAAAAGGAAAGAGGAAGAACAGAGAGAGATTAAAAAAGAAATTGAGAGGAGAAAAACTGGAAAAGAAATGTTGGATTATAAAAGAAAGCAAGAAGAGGAATTAACAAAAAGAATGTTAGAGGAAAGAAACAGAAAAGACAGAAGATAGGGCAGCTCGAGAGCGTATAAAACAGCAGATTGCATTGGATCGTGCAGAGAGAGCGGCTCGTTTTGCAAAGACAAAGGAAG